CCAGCCGCTGCCTCACGCTCTGGGCGCGGGGTCCCCGGGGCTGGCGGGAGACCCGAAGCAGCCTGAAGATCTTATTTCCCTTCTGACTGTCTGTCTGTCTGTCTCTCTCTAGCGAGCACACATGCCCTAGGGCAAAAACTTCTTTCTCTCTCTCCTCTCCTCTTCTCTCTCTCTCTCTCTCTATATATATATATACACACACATACACACACACACACACACACACACACACACACACACACAATCTACTAGCAATGTTACTCATTTGGGTTAAGACACTGAGTCCAGAAAGACCCTACTCATTACAGGTTGATACATTGACCTTATACCTACTATCATTTTAGCAAGGATGATTTCACCATCCTAGTCAGCTGTTAACTTCCCAAAGTTAGATTTTAAGGTGTTAGATTACACACACACATTCACAAACACAACCTGAGCAGCTTTGGTCACTGAACTCTACCTTAGCACATTGTAACACAAAATATGCCTTTAATATATTTAATGAATGGGTAGGAGAAGAGGAAAGGCGGTAGGGTGTTGCATAGAAACAGCAACCCAGGTATATGTGGTTTAGCTGTTACAGATACCAACAGTCAAAGGTTTTGATGAGAGCATGAAGACATCTTTGTTCAGGGTTTCTAGTTTCATTTCTCAGCCACTTAATTCAAGTACCAAAAGAAAAGTGAAAATGGGGCTGGCAGGTGGTGTGGTGGTTAAGGGCACTGGACTCCCACATGGCCAACAGCGGTTCAAGTCTGGACCTGATGGCTTGCTTTTTCACTTGCTCTGTCTCTCTCTCACTCTGTCCCTCTCTGGTCAAATTAAAAAATAAATAAATAAAGTTAAATACAATAATTCTTTAAAAACAAAAACAGAAAAGTGAAACTGCATGAAATATATCCTGACTTACGATGCTTAATTTATTACATTTTCATCTTGTGAAAGTTGTTAGAATCCACACGGAATCATTTCTGAGCTGGAAAGGCTGTGGCAGGAGGGCATTATTCCTAGGCAAGTACACTTGATCACAACTGTCCCAGAATTCTGCCAGAATCACGACCTTGCACACATACCCAATCATACATGAATATTTCTGCCAGGATAACTCCCCAGACAATGTGTGTTCCACCCTGGACTGGCGTGACCCCTTGGTAGACAAGGATAATTGTGCCCAGATAATTCATGGAGTCCCTTCTTTTTCTTTTAAAAAATCATGTCTTCCCTTACCTTCTGGAGTATGGCACTGTTTATTATGGTAAGCATATTCCACATCGCAATGCCTATTCCTGAATAAACATCATTTTTCTTCTACAGAGTCTCTCTTTCTGCCTGCTATTTCGAGGTTGAAAATCTCAGGTATATCTTATTTCTTTGTAATTACTTGGTGTAATCAAGAGCCACAGTAATGTTCAGACAGTAGAACAATGTCTTTAGAACAATGTCTACTTTTCACTTTATTGCTTTTTTTTAGATCAATGAGTTTTTTAAGGATTTTGGAACCATGAGAATAAAACGGTGACTTAAGTTTTTGTGTTTTAATCTAGACGTGTCAAACTCCAGGTAACTTCAATAACTCACAGCAAAGGAAAATACAAGGGGCCTGAAAGAATGAACATTTCTTAACCTGGAATAATTGTAGTAATCATCACTGTGGGCTAATTTATTTGTATATTGTAATTAGTATTTTTAAAAAAGGAAACCATCTTTCAGTAACACAGGAAATGTGGGAACCAAAGCAAGAGACTTAATGCAGTTTCTCTCTCTTTTTATTTTTTTGTATTGACTTAGCAGGAGCCAAGTCAACACACCTGCAGCTCAGGAAATAAGCAGACCCAAGTGATCCAGTAAGATAGGAAGAAAAAGTAATTTGCTCGGCATCTCTCAAATTGTCTCAAGAGTTTAAATTGAAAAATAAAACCAGGAGTAATGTTTTAGAAGTCAGTTCAGCTCCCAGACACAAATTTAAAACCTGGAGTTTTTAGAAGTGCGGAGAAACAGGGGGATGGGGACGGGGGTGGGAGGTGGGGGGGAGTTGTTAACACAACCAAGCAGTGGCGCCCCTGAGCGAGCCTGGCTAAGGGAGGCCCCTTCACTCGGTTTTCGGGCAGGTGTTGGAAGCTCGGCTTCCCGCGATCTTTCACCCGGAGGCTGGGACTGCGGGACGTAGCTCTGGGTAGTGAGAGAAACCCGGGCAGGCGGTTTCCGAGCCGACCACGGGACGCGAGCGCTCGGCTGCCAGGAGAGTGTCCCGGCGCTGCCGCCGCTGTTGTCCGGGGTGCTGAAAGCAGGAGAGTTCCGGGGAGCAGCGGCCACTTTTCTCTCTTGTAGGAGGGCGGGAGTCAGGCTGCGCCCTTGTAAGCCCGCCTGGTTCCTGCCAGGAGGGTCCGCCAGGTGTGTTCCCGAAGATAGGTAGGCTGTGCGAGTGAGCATAGCCCACTGCGACCGGCAGGACCCCGAGGTGCCCTTCCTCACCTCTTCCAGGCAGCCCCGCACCGCGATCCCCCTCCACCTGCGTGCGAACCCTCGCCGTCTGGGGACCTGAGCGCAGCTGGCTAGGCGCTACATCGCGCTGGAGCGGGGGCGAAGAGTGCGGGGTTTAGGCTGTGGGGAGGAACCTGCTCCAGTCCCGGGATTGGGGCTAGCGGGGGGG